TGACCTAAGTTCAATCCATTTCAGATCACTTTATTCCATCTCATGTTTGAAGCAGTATGATTGTTTCTCAACAAAGGTGTTCCAAAAGAGGCATACTGCGTTTAGCTTGAACTAGGAGAGTTTATAATCAGTGTGAGGGGCAGAAATGACCCACTTGGCTGCATGAAGTAAGACATGTGGAGGTCAACCAGGAGTTTTTACTCACAGGAGAGTTCTTATAGATTCATGAGCACAAAGCTACCTACAGACAAGTGCCTGCTGTGTACCTAACATATGGAGCAAGACAAAACTTTTTAGCAAACACACTCGGGGTCACAATGAACACTTTTGTGTGAATTATAATTAGATTGACAGATCTGCAATATGCAGACGAAGCAGATGGCTCATGGACAGTGGAAAGGCGGGGGCTGTTGTGAGCCGACGGACTACAGGTCTGTTGTTATAGCAGCTGGCTGACAACTCTGGGATGCTGTGTGTCAGCATGGGGGGGGAGGGGGAAGAAAGGGACAGACAGTTTAATTTGAGGATGGAGGGACCTAACTTTATATTATCAGTAAGACTTGAGCTCAAATGATGATTCGATATGGAAGATATGAAATGTTTACATGTATTTTTGTTAATTACAGTATTGGTCATTCACATAATTTAGCTCTGAACGTGAAATTATGAATTACAAAAAAAGATACCGTTAAAAATATACACAGATGTGTCTGATTTATTTCAATACATATCAGACCATATACTACACATCTGACCATGCTATGCCCATAATCAGTCAAAATTAGGTTTAATAGCCTAGTTTAGCATTGGTGTAACATGCTCATGCTAACTTACATTTTAAAACTGATGTTGATTTGACCTTGCCGTGAAGAAAAATGAAATCCTATAAGAGCTTTCTTCAGAGTGTTAACTTCAACTCCTCTCTCCTCTCCCTGTGTGGCACTGATGTCTCATTCCTCCCCTCTATTCTCCACTCTCTATCCTACTCAATCCCAGCTTTGATGTATGCATGAGGGAGGATTTCCTGAAGACCAAAGAGGCCATTACCCAGGGGCCATTAGGCCTCTAGTAGAGCATGTCAATGAGTGCCGAGTCTTGCTCTGTTTTCACATGTAGCCACTTTACCATGTGGGTAGGATTGAGGGAGATTCTCTAGGGATGATAAAGCATAGCCTTAAATGTATATATTTCATCACAAATATCAGCATTCTTATCAGATCACCACTGTTTAGTGTATCGTGCTGTAACTTACACTATAGTGGTTATTTTCTTAATGTTGCATGTGAGGAGGTCAGGTCATTAATTGGTGCTGTTGTTCTTTCATGCAGACTAAGAGCGAGGGGAGTGAGTCATCATCAATCAGGATGAAACGCTCTGACATTTGAGCATGAAATTCCCAGAGTGCCTTGTGGCCCAACGTCGCTGGGTATGTTTGTATATTACAGTAAAGGAGGTATGCAGAGCACTGTGGTCGGAATGAGATATCTTTTGTTGATATTCGCAAAGCACTGAGGTCATGGTTGGTAATATTACAAAGAAAATAACGAGGGCTGTACGGCAGACAAATATTTATCTAAACATGTAGGGCTGTGTGTTATTTAGATTGGATCTTTCTGTTGTGGTGAGTGGATGAAACTAAAGAGGTGATAAGCTGTGAGGTGAGCAGGGAGTAAGCTGAAAAGGACACAGAGGGAAGATAACCTTGATTGCTGGAATCACTTTGCCGATCTCTTCAATATATCCCTGTAGAGGACGAGAGCGCTGACTCTTCTCTGCTGTGTTTTAATAAAAGAAATGCCCTCATAGAAAGTGCGTGGTAAATGAGTGACGGTATATCATGCTCCTGTTTTTACAGAGAGCACTTGAGAGGATCATTGAAGTTCGCTGAGAGCGTCGGGACTCTCTCTCAAGGGCAGCTGGCTCTGTCATCTGCGTGGAATGCGACGCGCAGTCCTTCTCTAATCACAAATATCAAATCTTAGCATTCAGCATGCTGACTACACTAGGTTTTACAGAGTGTGAAGCCTCACTTTTCCGCCCAGCACAGCAAAAATATCAGCATACGGGCCACTGAAAGAGACAGAGGAGGAGGTAAGGGAGGGAGAGAAAGATGGATAAGGTGGAGGAAAAGGAAGATAAGCGGCCAGTGTGTGTGTTTGTGTCTGGATGTGTGTGGTGCGCCTTTTACTAGTGACTTCCTCTGGGCCTGGAGACAGGGGAAACAAGGAATGATTAATTTTACTCCACCCTACGCGGCCTCTGTCTGGGGGAGCAGTCCCAGAAAGTCTGATACAGAACAGCGAGGTCTGTTTCTTCCTTTTAAACTCCCTGGATCAATAACAGATTGGCAGGTCAATCTCTTCAGGAGAAACTGCACGGCCAATGAGAGAGACCCTGAGCAGCTGAGACCCTCCTCTTGTCTGCCTTTCTCAACGTTTGGAGCTTGAGGTCATTGATCTGTGTGTTTTCACTGAGCGGATCCCTTAGCTGGCCTTATCGATTAGCTTTAATAAAGAGTAGATTCTCTATAAGCATCACAGCGTGTTCAATGAGATCCATGACCCCAGGGTGCCATTCACCTCTTTCATCTGCCACTCTCCTGCACACAACCATTAACACACACATTCAGGCAGGTGCATTTGAATTTGCATTTAAGACCATACTGTAGAAATGATTGCGTAAATTGGGTGCCGATCATCTCTTGGTCCTAGCAATTGCAGCACACCCAGAGGCATCCCATTTCAGAGAAACCTCTCTACCCCCCGATGTTTTGTTTTCACAGACAGAACTCCTCTCTCCTCTTTACATTAGAGAAAACTACACATTTGTGCATTAGCTCAATATTTAATTTGCATTTGTTTTCATTTCTCCAGGCCCCATGAGCCAGGTGAAGTGAAATACTTATATCCTAATTTATGTTTGAATGGAAGGAGGAAACCAGGAGGGGCTGTGAGTCAGCGGGCATATTTACTGTGAGTCAGCCATCCTGCATCACTCGAACAGTATCTGTTTGTTGTTATCTTTAATGTCATGATGGGAAGTGTGGTACAGTAAATGAATGTGCGTGAGTGGCCATCAATTATTGTTATTTTTCTCCACGTAGGGAATAATTATAAATCAAGACTGCTTCTCTGCCACAGATATGTTTGGAGGGTAGAATGAGGGGGGGTTTCTTGCTCAATATGCCTTAAAGAATAGTAGCATTTGGTCATGAAAGCAGATTTTTTCCCCCGGAGAAACAAGCGTAGATATTTGTTCTGACTGAATGATCCGTGACATCTATGTACATAAGCAGGGGGCCGCTGCTGTAGCTCTTCATCCCCGCCATCAGGTGGGCTTTCCGCTCCTGCTGAGGTCTGTGCCCCGCAGTGTGTCCTTTCTACCAAAACAGCCCCGTCTTCCCTGTCAGAGAGGAGACAGAAATGCTGTGCAGCAACCCTGCCGACTGCTGTGTGGCTTTCTGTAGCAGAGCACCTGCGTGTCCCCTGCTGACTGACCGAGCCAAGGACAACAGCGACTGGCTGTCTCAACCCGTGTCCACCAAATGACCCGAGAGATGCAGGACTCACCAAAGACTGTCCTGAACCTCGGCGTTGACTTGGAGGTCAGCGGAAGAAGCGTTTAGCCCATCTTCCGTGCAAAGGACCATTGTGACAGAAACACACCTGGGTTAGATCATTTGAAAAGCAATAACCCTTCATTGTGAGTTTGCTGCCGCATGGATGAACCTGACATTTTTTTTTGGTTTTGGTGCAAATGTGTCAAACCTGCTGTGTCCTACAATTGAAATGGGCTGACCAGAGAGCAAACAGCAGAGCAGGAAAAGATAATAAGACGGGGACAGGTGCACACACAATGAGACAAACATACATGCACACCACAACCTAACGTATGCGCACAAACACACTCACACAGCTGATAGAGGGAGATATTCACTTCTCCGGGCGGTAACTTCATGCTGGATTAGATTTACTCTGATGTTTCAGTGCATCTCTCCTCTTTGTTTACCTTTCAAATGAATGAAAATACCTGACCTATGTCCACAGGAAAACTTGCCCAACTAAAACATGTCTTGTTACCAAGTTTCTGATTATTCGGAGGCTCCTAGTTACAAGAAATAAGTAAACATGCCCTGCCCTGCTGTAATGTTACATTTCATAACACTTTAAGCCCCCCGTGTAGATAGTATGTTACTATGTTGGCATGAAATGATCGTAAGGTGTTTCCAAAAATGATGTGATTCTTACATTCATTCAAATGGTCATCCACTGGACCAGATGGTCTAATAAGTAGAACACACCTATTTGGAGAAGAGCCCTAAGGTGAATATTTACACTCCAGTTTATACAATCCTGACCTCCCATTCCCCTAATTATCAAAAATAAAGCCTGGATTCCTACTCATAATCCTGAGTTTTTGAAGGACACACAATGCTCGATAGTGGACATGAGGAGGAAAGGAGGTGGCCTGATGCGCGCCCCCGTATGTCGCACAGGAATTGGCTGAAGATGCAGGAATGACCGCTTGTCCCAACAGCTGAGTCAAGAGCAACAGATAGGATGAATAAAAACAGGAAGTCTCGCAATTTGAGCTTCAAAATAAAACGTCAGGTTAAAGAAAGTCATTGAACTAATCCAAGGATGTTATGCCAAATATGTGCCCAAAAGTGTAAATATTGTAAAACCGTAGCCATATTCTCAAGGGAGCCTAGTATGTTTTGGGATGAAAATGTGACTACCTCTGATGACTTAAGATAATTGTCATGTAGTGTTATGCTTAAAGCTTTTTACTGAAAATATAACAGTGACATGTGATATCTAACTCATTTCTGCCTGCACTCTCCCCTCCCTCTAATGCTTATCGTCCTTAAAACAATAAATGGTTTTATTTTGAAAACCCAGATTGAAACCCTCAATTCCTATGTTGGCCAGCTTCGCTGTATGGATGTAACATTGGAGAGAGTGGGAGAGAAAAGGAGCAAATGTGCGGCGGCGGAGTGGGAGGGAGGACAGTGAGTGCGCAAATAGGCAAGCAGGCACATCAGCAGCAGCGGCACAGCATCGTCCTGATCCTGATCTCCTGGGTCTTCAGCTGCCAATCCTCTCTGCGCGTCTCTGCTTGAGGTTTCACTGCCGGCTGAAGTGTCCAGAAGCCTCTGCCAACCATCAGCTCCCACCAAACACTTTCTCTGGAGCGCGGTTATTCTTAGCTCAGCGGCGAGAGACTGTCCTTCCGGTCCTTCTCTTATTTATCCCAGTTTCTTGAATATTTAATGGAAAATGGCGATCTGCGCGCAGTCGTACGGTGTTTTCTGTCTCTTTGCAATCCAAACTGTACTTATCATATGCGTCTCCACGCCGACGGACGGGACCCACCTCTTCCCCCAGCACTACACGTAAGTACCCTGCACCGTTTTGGGGGATACACCGGGGTGCGGAGCGCGGAACTAGGACAGGTGGCCCCGCAGAGCCTGCACATGCAGCGGCGTTTACCTCGGAGCGAGAGGAGCTGTGCCCCTGATGTTCAAACACAGAAGACATAGTCTCTGATGTCGCGTTATGAATCTCGCTCTCATAAAGCCCGTGTTGTTATTGTTTTTGTGATGGCTGTGGGATTTAATACCCAAAGCCCTATTCAATTCGTCAACATGGGAACAGTCTACAAGGAGCATACACAGGTGCCACTGGCGAATAAACCAAGTGAACAATAATGTCTTTGAACAGTCATAGGGATAGAAATAAAAATGATGATAATAATACTCGACGTGTTGTTTCCCTGTCGCTGCATGGGGGAGAATATCCCATTTACGCATGAAAGATAGGTTGAGCTACAAAGAGGCTTGTCTAAAAAGTCCTCCACTGGATGCACACGCACCGTGAATATAATCTTGTCTATCCCACAGCAGGGTGCACTGGTGTTTTTACAGGATGAGTTTGATTCAGAGACTAAACCAATTAGTTAATGCAGCAGGAGCGCCAGGTCTTTAAGCCTTCGGATGAAGGTCCTGTATTTAAAGTCGATCCTCACCAAACTTCAAATCAACTTGTTTAGAGTCTGTTCGTGGGACCTATGGAGCGATATAGCTCACATACTGATTTCTGGTAATTTTACAATGATCTCAAAGACATTCGTATTGTCGAAATACTTATAGTTGCCAATGCCAGTATCCCCGTGTTGTTTTATCCATGTGACCGCAGGCAGAGAAAGTAGCTGAGCACCCAGCTGTGTGTAAACTATCGTTGGTCTCAGCGGGTAGCCTACACCTGTTGGGAAATAGTGTTGCCATTATACATATTTGAATTTAAAAGGTTATGTCTACTAAAATACCAACAACATAATAGTTTCCCCTTGAATGACACACGGAGGCAGACCAAAACATCATCGTCAGCACGAGCAGTAGGCTACTCACAATATTTAGCATCGGCGAACTATTATAACATTAATCTGCCTTTTTTCCCTATTTTTTAAAGGCACCGTTCATTCGTTTGAAATTATTTTATAATATGTTTCTATACATTATGAATGCTTTAGGGTGCAACAGTTCCTCACTACTCCATGACGTGATAATCTGATGCGGACATAGCCTGTAGTTATTAGTCAGGTTCACAGAAAAGGAGAATCTAAATAATTCCTCTATGATTTATCCACTGGCTGATCTCTTTGTTATTCCTGATGGCCAAGGTGACTTTCAAAGGAAAATCACTTATGTTATATCATTGCTCAATGACTTAAAAGGACAATTAGCTGCATCATCGATTTTATCACTTGAGCGCCATAAAGGAAAGTATGGATGGTTTCACTAACAAATTACCATATGAAATTATATTTATTGTATTGAAATATATTTTTAGAATGTATCCCTGTAGTAAATGATAAAAATGGCCTTGTTTGTAATATTTCCTCCAAATACATCTCAAGTCACTTTATTTGAGATTAATAATTGTAAACCATTGTAAAATCAATGTTATTCTCATTAGATAAATTAATAGTCTAAAGCCTGTTGATCTATTTACCCTGTATTATAGTCAGCCATCTCCTGTTTTTAAATTGTGTTTGTGTCATCCACATCACTTTGCTATTTGTTAGAATTTCCCTGTTTCGTAAATGAAGCGTATGGGGAGCGGCTGTGGCCACTGCGTGTTTAGAAAGGCATGACACACACACACACACACACACACACACACACACACACCGGTTGGAGCATGTGTGTGTACCTGAGTAAATGTGTCCATAAGCCAGGGCAGAATGTAATCTTTATTTTTAATGTAGCTATTGGATTGCAGTGTTTGTGTGTATAGTATTGTGTATGTGGCAGTAGAAGATGTTTGCATTCGGGAAATGATTTCCATATTTCTAAATTATGTGGAGGAAACATGTTTCTATAACTGCTATCTAACTGTACACTATTCTTAAAGTATTTAAAAAATATCATTACTAAGCAGAGTCTATATACAGTTCAGAGCCTTTCCCTCCAATTTTATTTATTTCCCAACATACAAAAATAGTTACCTTTTTGCCCTAGAGATATTTCAGCATTGCATTTGGATCCATTTCAGCAGAATGAACATGGTGATGATGTATATCTGACACACAGGTCATCCGCCAAAACTCATTACATTACATGTTACCCATTATGTTAACCATACATAAATCATAATGCAAAACAAATAAATAAAAATCACCGGAGGCACATAGTAAAGTTTTAATACTATGTTAGAAGAAGAGCCAGAGAGCATCAGTGGTCTTTCATATAGTGTTCATTGAAAGTTTTTAAGAGAGATCACTGCTTTCAAAACATGGGGTCTCTAAGCATTCATTAAAAATCAGGCCTCAGTAGTGGACATCATTTATTTATCAACCATCTCCTCCTATAATCGCTGAATGCCAAGTTCTGCACATTTGGGAGTGTGAAATATTTTTCTCCTTTGATTTACAATTAGTCCAGCATTAATCTCAAGTCGATATATGACGTTTTACATAACAGCATTAAAAGATTTTGGGGCAACTGTGGTTTTTCCTGATTCTGATCTGTTTTGTAAAGGCTAACATTTTGACTTCTGCTGGCTGTCACTGGATAGGTATACTGTGCATTTTTAAGTGGGTTATTGATTAAACTTGATGTACATAATGAAATGGATTTAGACAATGCAAACACCAGGAACGAAGAGTGACAAGGCACATTTGTGCAAAGCGTGTCTGTACAGCCTGTACATGTGTAAATGTAATACACTTATGCTAAAGCAACATTAATAATCTTCATCACCATATTGTGTAACAGTTTGCACTTGCCAACAACTTTTTAAAGATTAATGGCTTGCTCAAAAACTCAATCTCCTTAAACCCTAAATGTAGAAATGTTTACAGTCTGGTACAAAAAACGATTTTGGTCTCTGAACCTCAACCAATTGTATACAACTCAGTTTTTAAATTATATTAGGGCTTAAGGGTATGCATAATTAAGGGAGTGGTCACATTGAGTGACAGGTGGGTTTCCTCACAGCTCACCTGGGCTTGCCTCAGCTCCACCTCTTTGAGCATTTTGGATTAGCCAGGATATTAGGCGGAGTCAGCACTGCCAACATGACGATGGCCACACCACTCACTTATGGCTTCATAACCGCTGTCAGGAATCCTATAGATGACGTCATGGAGACTCTATCCAAATGTTAGACACTATGTAGTTGTAGCAGAGTAAACTGAACAGGCTTTACAAATAATTTCCTCAACCATCAAGCCACATTATAGACAACATCATCCGTCCTCAGTTTAGATTTAATGATGCATGAAAACAGTTACCCCATTATCAATTCAATCTGATTGGTTTGGTCAAAGTTGTGCTGCTTGACTTCACCACGATTACCCATCCCAACGGTATATGTGCATTTACATATACTTACAATAAAAAACATAATGTAGGACCCCCTTTCTGCATGTCATTCTATCATATTTTAATGAGGATATTCTGTGTTGTATGTGTGTGTGTGTGTGTGTGTGTGTGTGTGTGTGTGTGTGTAGACTAATGAAGTTGCGTAAGAAGTCTGCCTGGCTTGGGGCAGAGGTAATGTCCCTCACTGTTAGTATCACTGCTCAGCTTTGCTCTCACTGTAAGCTTGTTTTCATTTCGTATTGAGGTGACCTTTTCATATTCAGAAGCTCTCCCCAGCGGTCCCTCTCTGCATCGTCCTGTTTGAGGCCTTCTTGCTTGCCTCTACCCTATAAACACAGCCTGTGTGTGCACTTGCCTGGCGTGTTTGCTCTGCTGTTACTCTCCTGATGAGCCCCAGCTCTGGCTTTCTGAATAAGGCGAGCCCTGTCACCAGTTGCACGATTTGTACAATTTAATAAATCTGTCTTCCCTCTTGTCTTCTGAGCAAATCTGACATTTAAGGATGACATTTCTTTCAGTCATCATATTAAAAGACAAACGACTGTTGTGTTGTTGATGCTAGTGATTAGCTATCTGCAGGCTGCTGAATGGAAAAGGTTGGCATGAAGTCAGTGTTTGGCTTTCAAATTTGTGACGGAATTTATATATCTGATTGCTGAAAGACAAGCTTTCCTTATGTTTTCTTTTTTGTGACACTTTCTCGTGGCCATGCACATGGATTGTTCATCTTGTATCCAGGTATCCAAGACATTTTGTGCAAATCTTGATCCATTAAGGCATTTGTTGCTTGCCGGGAGTTCTGCAGTGATGAGCCCTAGCCGTTTGATCTCTTGATTCCAAACTTGGCTCTGCCTTACGCAGATCAGCTCCTGCTTAGGGTGCGTTTCTGTCAGACTTGAGCAGTTTTTATCGCAGAGCAACTGATCCCAGCCCAGCCAAGTCAGGCATGTTCGCTGCGAGTCCTGCCAGGGCTGACCAGATGTATGATGATGACGAACCCAGACAGTAGGTGTGGTTGGACAGGAATGTTACAATAGAGATGCACAGAGATATGAGGAGACTCTTTCTGACACTAACTACCGCTTTCACTCACATCCAATGGCAGAGAAACAAATGCTGATGATATGTTCAGGTAATCAAGGCATGAAGATTTAAAGTGTCTCATTTTATTTTCCAGAATGATTCACTGGGCAGGACGCATCGAGAAGGAGCTGGAAAAGGTTCTGCAGCACGTCACCGGAACTCAGCAGATGAGATCGGTAAGTTGACGTCACGTTCGCATGTGACGCAGCATTTTTTACTGCATTATTAATAAGTGAGTTTTCACAACATAAGCTCCCATGTGTGTCTGTGGGGTAATGGGTTTGAATGAGCACTATTTTGATCTAATAAAGACATTACGTTTGAGGACTTAAGTGTATTCTATGTGATCATTTAGAAATCAGAAATCAATGTACTTTTTCCCCATTGTAAATCAGTTTGTTCGTTTAAAGAATTTTCTTGATTATTGATTTTCCATTTGATTGACCTTCTTCAATCATGTAAACATTTAAATTTGATCAGTGAAGATACACTAGACGAAAGATATTTTTAGTTAATGAACACACTGGTTTAAAGAAGATTTTAAATGTATGACTCTAAATGATACATTTAGTGTAATGTGCTGTTGATTGTTTGCGTCTGTGTCCTGGTATGAGGCTGTGTGTAACACGTGTCTGTCTGTGGTAGAGCAGATGGTCGAGCAGAGTGTGATTGACACTCTTTCATCATATTTCCACCGTATGCGCATGTTCAACGTGCTTCCAGGGTTTGTAATGCACCCTGAGATAAATGCTTCATTATTGCTGTTTGGGTGAGTGTGATTCATCCAGCCAGTAGGTGCCTGTGGCGGCTTTGATGCTAGCAGTAACAGGGGTTAGTGTGATAGCTGTTAGTGTGCTGGCGACATTGATGGATCCCAGAGAGCAGGAAGTGAGTTGACAGCGATCGTGCTGGAGTAAAGGTTAGTGACCAGTGGTGGGTATCAGCAGACACTCAGACTGCACGACAGAGATGGGTTGATATTTTTGTTTTTTGCACTCGTCCAGTGTAAACAAATCAATCAACAGAGAATGTTTACCCATCAAAATATTTGCCTTTCAAAGTTGTGTCAGTAATGTTTCAGTATTCCCACTGAGCAATGTGGACTTTTAAATGACTTCTAACGCAATGTTACACAGTTTTTTAAAGTATCTTCTGAATGTAATTTCACCAACTTTGAAAAACTATTTTGATTTACGCTTGGTAACAATACATTTTAAGAGTTTATTCAGGGTTTAAGAGCGTAACAGGTGTATTTTCTCTCATATAGCCAACACTTGGAGAGGTGTGGTTTTTTCTACTCCACTTATGTTTAATTCACTTTGCATATATTTTGGTAGTGATCATTCTCATATTAAGGGACTGCAACTTTTTTTCTCTTTCCAATTACTCTGATTCTTCTTTTCTTGATACACTAATTTATCATATTTTATAAAATGCTAGAAAATAGGGAAAATAGCATCAGAAATTTCTGAAGCCCAATTGCTGCCATCAGATTGCTTGCTGTGTCTGACAAACAGTAAAAAAAAACATGTATATTACATTTATTGTGACATAAGACAAGGAAAATGATCAAATACTGGTAAGCCTGAACTTTGAAATGTTTGGTATTTTTGCTTGAAAAAAGTGTCTGATTCAATCCTGCCAGTGGAGTAATTTAATAGCTATGTTATTACTGTATGTATGGATTACATATATGTTATGGTGTCTCTTAGCTGCTTGTGGTAAAACTTGGATGTATTTAGCTGAATAATCTTAAGTAAACTAAGGTTGAGATGTGATGTTGACATGATGTTAAGTACTAATTGAGTCTACATGTTGCTGGAGTCTGCTCTCTGAGCCAAACCCAGTCAAGTCATTAGCACTAAATAGTATTACGTTCATCCCAGTTATGTCTCGTGCAGGATGCCCATATGGCTGTGTGCATGTGCGTGCATGTGTGTGCTGGCCTGACAGTGTGCGCAGAGCGGGTGTGAGAGAACATTTATCATGGCCCCAAACAGGAGTCGTCACAGGGTGTGCTAAATGGCCCAGCATGCCTAGAAAAGCCATTTTCTAAATGGATGCCTCTCTCTATACGTGTATCTGATAGAAATCTTCCCAGGGCTATGCCGGCTGGTAACAAGATTGCCTCCCTCTGCGCCTCCCTTCCTCTTCATGCACAGTTTATTCTCACAGACAAAAAAAAATGTAAAGTGTGTGCAAATTATTTTGGAGTTTGTCTTACATGGAAGGAGACAGGGAAGTACGTTTATTATAATGTGGTCTGTTCAGTTCCTCTTGTAGAGATTGCATTTTTTCTGACAAGCAAGGTAGGAGCTGAACTGAAAGGCCAAGACAGAGCCGCACAAAAATAGATGAATATGTTTGGAATTGGTCAACTTAAGAAACAACACATACAATGTTTTGATGTGCTTTACTTTGAGGCCTCTCAAAAAATAAATAAAACTCCAAGGTATTAAAATGTTAAAATCACATTCTTATATATTCTGCCCCGGGTTTGGTCAAGATGTTATTCTTCCCCGGGGGAGTGAAAGGAAGATAGAGTGAGTGATGTATCGGAGGAGTTGAAACTTTCCAATGGAAGAGTGTGGTGTGCGGATAGACAAGGAGAGTGGGCGGCATTCAGAGCGGAGGAGGGAGGGGGGGCTTCGAGAGGGATAGGATGAAGTATGGCTTGACAATTGAGATGGATGTTCAGGCGGTTTTGTGTGTGTATATTTAGAGTCAAACTACTTAAGATGGATGAAATGATCGAGAAGAAGGACGGGAATTTGTACATTTAAATGTGAGCAGACGGATGCTGTTTATAGTCCTTATCCTCCTCATTATCCTGTGTGCTGCTGCGTTTGATGTGTTGCAGTACGTGGTGATGAGAGGCGGCGGTGGACACTGGCATTGTTTCCTTATCCTCAGGCTTATTCAGAACAGTTTTAATAGGCACACGTGAGCAGCGGCCTACACCCACACACTTTCATGACAGCGATTTGATGATTTATCAAAGATACAGGCAGATATTATTACTATGTACATATTTAGACACCAGGTGGTCACATGTTCACTGTACCTACTGTAGCTTATTAATAATAATAAAAATGCTCTTCTTCCCGTGGTGGAACATGTGTTCGGATAGTAAAAGTAGCAGATTCTTTTTGTCTTTTTAATGTGAAATACAGAGGTTTTATCAGCTAAATCTACTGAATGTTATAAAAGTAAAACTACTCATTATTGAGCAGAACAGCTCCTGTAACTGGTAAATGAATTTAATGAAACTATTACATTCCCACGTCAGTTGCATTTTGCTGTTGTACTGTATCTGGTCAAAGTGGAGCTAGTTTAAAATTCTTACCTTCTACAGGTGGTAGTTAGTCCAGTGGTTTCCAACATCAGGTTCAGGCCTCCGCCATTGCGTCACAAGATACATTTGAAGGGTCATGTGATGATTAAAGGTGCTCCTTGAGATATTGGATAAGATGACCCTTTTCGGCCATGACATTCGTTTAAAGGTGGGGTAGGTAAGTTTGGAATGGAATGCTCTTAACATCCCGATAGCAATGAATATCTTAAGTGCTTTGACAAAAAATCCATAAAAAAATCTCATCTGTGGAAGCCGTGATACTGTAAAAAGCACGACCAATCAATTTAGCCGGCCCGTCTAAAATAACTGGATGGCCTACCTGCCTGTCAGCCTTCTCTGTGCACAAACTTATCTCGTGCCCTCATTGGTCAGGTGTGTGTTGGAGGAGGGGCTCTGTAAGGAAGCGGTGGATTTTTTCCAGCTGTGTATTTTCAAATTCTAGCGCACTCGAGCTGGTTTCTCCAAAATTACCTACCTCACCTTTAAATGATCACACTAAAGTTTAAAGGGGAAATCTCTTTATGCTGGAACAACTAAAAGCCTCTAAGACATTTGAAAAATGACATGCTGCTTTTATGTAGAGTCATAAGCCAGAAGGTCTTGGGACCTGTGTTTAATTTTTAACAATACATTTAAGTAGGGTGGTAGGATAAGAAAAATGAAGGAATGATCTGAAGTTTAACACAAGTGAAGCCTCATTTTCTACAGCATGATACGACACAAATCAATTGTTTTGTTTGTTTTTTCCATCGAAAGTTGTGGACAGTACCTCTTTTTTAGCTCCATCTCGGTTGCGTTTCCAAGAATGCTTAACCAATACTAGAAGGTGAAGGGAAAACACTGCAGACCATGGTTTGGTCAAGTATGTAATGTAATGTAATTCACAGGGTAGTATCGTCATTTGAAAATGAAATGAAAAAGCACTTGGTACCATAGGTGAGTTAACTAGAGCCATCAGGATGCAGTGGAGATTAGGCACCAAATGTTCTAACTTACAAAGAGCTCAGCTTCAATTAAGCAGGCTTCTCATATGGCGATGCCATGCAACATATGTTGAACTCTTTCTAATTCATTTCAATAAGAAGAGTCTAATCAGCATGAATAATTGAGCCTGGTGCACATGACTGCTCCTGAACCCCCGCCTCAGACCGACACTCTGACGATCTGTCTGCCGAGCCTCCACACCCTCTGCTTCTGCTTTGGCTGCCCTTGATTACTGGAAACCTGAGAATGATGCCCACCCAGATCAATATACCCTCACATAAAGCAGGGAGGGATAGCCTGAGTGCATATTAACAGAGTTTTCATCTTTTACTCGACCAGGTATGTTTTTTTGCTCTTTCGCTTTTGCCCTTCACTCTGTGTGGTCAACACACACCAGGCGGCCTGCCGACCTCCTGCTGGCTGCAGGTTTATCTCGCTTCAACACAGACCTCCTTACCTCCAGTGCTGCTAGTGTGCATGCTCATGAATGTGTTTGTCTGAAGGAAGTTTTTTTTCACATTTACTTCCCTGAAGCCTCTGGTTCAATTTGAACCCTTATGACTTGACGGAGACGTTGTATGCATGCGGAACACAATTCCAAAATTCTCTCGTACTTCTGCAAACCTCCTCCTGCTTCTTAGAAAAAGAAGGTTGCTCTCGGCCAAAACAGCCAGCCCCAACAAACGGATATCTCTACAAAGTGCACTGCTGGATTTACTCACTATCGCTGACTACAGACATTTCCAATAATCTGTCTCAAATGCCCAGCGCTACACCAGACATCACCCCTGCTCTCACTCCACAAACCCCCCCCTCACTTTGTAGAGCTGATGTCAG